CTATTTTCCCCTCCTATTGTAATATGTACATTGAGGGCCAAATCAAAAGTCATCAAAGGCCAACTTTGGCCCTGGTTTGGGCATGTCTGGTATATAAAGATGCAATGAAACTAAATTCTTGTTGCAGGTATGAAGAGTTGCGTTATTGGTATGACTGCTTGTGTTATGAAGAAGACCTCAGGCAGTACAACCAATACGTTGTTGATTACAGGAAGTGGGAAGAGGAGAATCTGCACCCAGAGGACGTATGTTACTCTGATATATATATTAAATTTACAGTGCAAATTTGTTCTTGTTCTCCCTTTCTCTCTCTGGGAGACTAGTTCTCATGTTTTTTTTAGATTAAAATGCTAATAGGCCCTTTTCACATGACGTCACGCAACTTCCGTTCTGACACTAAGCAGGGTATTCTTACTTCCGCCAGCCTAGTAAAGCGCTATCGCTACCAGCATGGAGTTCACCAAGACGCTTGTACAACTGCCACAAATACGATTAGAGGATGACTGCTGCTGTCTATTCTCGTCCTCATTCAGGGAGAGGCGTCTGGCATCTCAAACGAACTTACCGAATACCGATCGGCGAGATTTGCCGCTTGAAGTCGAGGGAGGAGTTGAAAACGGAGCACTGCAGTCACTGATTCCCGCGACTCTCGCGCACTGTTTGCTGTCTTTATTGCAGTTAGACTTTATTGCAGTTAGATGAAGTTGGTTAGATATATTTCTAGACATTTACATGTGGTAACAGAAAGCCTTTTCATTCAGTAATTTATGTCCTGCTTAATACAGCGCCTGTATGTTCAAGAATAGTTCAATGTAACAAACTTGTACTATTTAAATATCAATAAAATGGGGTCTATAATTTCCGTTTTATTATTTAATGTAATTCAGAAATATTAAATATATTAAGTTCATATAAAAAGCTTTTACATTTAAAAACAGATGCCAGCATTTGTGTAAATAAATATAAAACGCAGGTCATAGCTGTTTTTTAAAGATCACATTGCATATAGCCTATAACGAAAATAAAATACGATCGATCATATTAATCAATAATAAATCACAAAGTAAAAACACTGTATACATGTAGTTAAAGCAAAATTGAATGGAGGAATTTAAAGAGCAGGTCATATGGGTTTTTGAAAAATATCTCTTTTGCAGTTTATAACATAGCTATCCTTAAATGAAAACACTCTGCAAAGTTGTTAATCAAAAAAGTGCATGATAAATAAAGATATAGTCGGTTCTGAATCGCCTAAACGAGTCTATTTTTGAGTCTTTTGCCTGTTACCGGTATACGTCACTGGGTAACACATTTGCATAATCCCCGCCAGTCCGCGAAATACGAACAGAGGCCGCTTCTCAATATGGGTTCTTCAGCAATCTCAGTAGCCCCTCACTGCAGAACAAAGATCCAGGGGGCGGGGTTGGATCCACATCTACGGGGTGGATATGGGTGGGTTGAGGGATCAGGGGGTGGAGATGGGTAGGTTTAGGTATATGTAAGGTGGGAGGAGTTGGATCTGGATCCAACCTCGCCCCCTGGATCTTGTTTTCTGCAGTGAGGACCATCTCAGCGATCTTGCGTCCTTGTGTTCTCGCTCTACGTCATCATTGACCTTCGAAGTTCAATTCCAATTCTCAAGAACGCAAGTACAGAGGACGTATGAAAGTTCCCGGATGTGTTCATGATATCGAGGATGCATCGAGTGCAGACTTGAGAGAATCGAGCTGTTAGAAATCCCAGAAGACGCTGCGGGCGCCGGTGTACGGAAGCCTGCAAGCTTTAAACTCGCTCTCGCAAATACTTGACGGCTCTTGAAAGTAAACATTTATAGTTTTGTTTTGCTTAATTTTAATAAAGTTCTAAGACCCGGAGAAAGTCTGCAGTATTTTTATTGGCATATTAAAATGAATCTTAACATAGTCATAGTTAAACATATAACACTGTAAAATAAAATGATATGCAGTTATATGTAAATAATATCTATAATAGTATGAAATGTTTTAATAA